AAGGAGGGAGGGAGGGATCTGAAACTTGTTTTTGAGACAGGGTCTTATTGAGTAGCCCAAGCTGGCTTCATATCACCCTGCATTAGCCTACTGGCACTGAGATTACAAGAATGTGCAACCATTTGCGCTCAAATCCTAAATGTTTAACAGAGTAGAAAAAGTTCCTCAAGTAGCCCTGTTTGGACATTCCTACCTCACACACACTGTATTTCAAGTACAATGGACTATTTTGAGCACTATGTCTGCTCCTCTGTACTATGATACTTTTCCCAAGTCAACCTATTTTTCTAGGTCAATCTTTATTCTCCCCTCTCCCTTGTACTCATTTGCTCCTGATCATCCCTTAAGCAATACCTTCTCCAAGAAGATATCCCTAATGTGAGCACAGGGGCTACACTTCGTATATATTTCCTAGCATTCTGTGCAAACTACTTCTGACACTTAACCTACAGGATTGGGGTTTCCCTCTCCTCTCTCAATCCACTTTTCCTCTCAGTGCTTTACCACTGAACTCCATTTCCAAACCCTCAATCTCCTGCCTTAGCCTCTGCAGAGCTCGGGTTAAATTGAGTTATTATTGGTCTTCCTCAATAGGCAATAGCATAGAAGATATTCAACAAATGCCTTCTTGGGCCGGGGAGATAGCTCAGTAGAATAAGTGCTTGCCTGGCAAGTGCAAGGTCCTGAATTCAACCCCTGGTACAGGAAAAAAAAAAAAAGAAAGAAAGAAAGAAAGAAAGAAAGAAAGAAAGAAAGAAAGAAAGAAAGAAAGAAAGAAAGAAATGCCGTCTAGGGCTGATTAGATAGCTCAGCAGACTAAGCGCCTGCTTAAGCAAGCCTAGCAACCAGCGCAGAGACTAGGGTTCGATCTCCAGCACTACATGCCATATGCCAGCCCCGCCCCCTGGGCATGCTGTGCCAGCCACCATGACTGGGTGTGGTGGTACATGCCTGTAATCCCAGCAGTGGGGAGGCTAAAAACAGGAAGAACACTATGAGTCCTAGCTGCACTTAGACCCTGTACCAAATACATCAAAAAAAGAAAGAAAAGAAATGCCTTCTAGGCTCTTGATGAGTTATTAAATTGCCCAGGCTGGGCTCCCAACTCCACAACCCTCCTACTTCAGCTTCCTTGAGTGCTGAAAATATAGGTGGATCCCACCACACTCCAACACAAATGTAAAATCTTGATATAACAGACCAAAGATCCACAAACAGGCATCCCTTTTATTTCCAGGGGACCCAGGCTATCGATTACAACAGCCAGGCATAGTGGTGCATGCTTGTAATTCCAGCACTTGGAAGGCTGAGGCAGGATGATTGCTGTGAGTTCAAGACCAGCCTGGACTACAAAGTGAACTCAAGGCCAGCCTGAACAGCATAGCAAAACCCTGTCTCAAGAAGGAAAAAAAAAAAAGCTAGGTAAGCATACTTTCTCCAGGGTAGTCATGCACTTGCTTATGCCAACAGGTTATCAGGGCACACAGTGTAGTCAAATACTGAGTGTCATGATTCTGAACCAACAGTGAATCTCATCCAAAAAGGGCATTTGACAGCCTACAGAAACATTTTCAGTTGTCACAGTTGTGGGAGAGGGTTACTGGTATCTAGTGGAAAGAGGCCAGGAATACTAGAAATACCTATAATGCACAACAAGACCTCCAACAAGAAAAGTTACCCAGTCCAAAATGTCAATACTGGCAAGATGAAAAGCTGATACAGGGAAAGAGACTCAACTCTTTTTTTTTAAGTTTATTTATGTGTGTGTGTGTGTGTGTGTGTGTGTGGCCAGCTCAGCATACCAGGGGGTGGGGCTGGCTGGCATGTGGTGCTGGGGGATTGAACCGTGGTCCCTGTGCTTTGCTAAGCTTGTTCTAAGTAGGTGCTTTAGACCACTGAGCCATCTCACCAGCCCCAAGAGACTCAGCTCTTTTTAAGGACAAGAAATTTTTACAAACTTTTGAATTACATAAAAGTTTAAAACAAATACAACTTTGAGCCAGTTTTTTACCTTTACGAACTTACTACACAAAAATAAATGCACAGTCATGCAAAAATAAATACACATGCACAGAATATTTCCTCAAGCAAAATTTTCATTTGGTGAGAGGGCTACTGAGTATTTTTTTTTTTTATAATAGGTATTTTTTATTTATTGTGTGTGTGTGTGTGTGGCCAGCTCAGCCCACCAGGGGGCGGGGCTGGCTGGCATGTGGTGCTGGGGGATGGAACCGCGGTCCCTGTGTTTTTGCTTAGCTTAGCTTGTTCTAATTTAGACCACTGAGCCATCTCACCAGCCCCCGCTACTGAGTATTGAATCTAAAACCTTTGCACTAATCTACATCCCAGATTTTTTACCTCTTGAGGAGGTCTCACTAGATTACTAAATTGCACAGGCTAGACTTGAACTTGTAACCTTCTACCTTGGTCTCCCAAAGAGCTCAGATTACAGATGTGTGCCATGGAGCCCAACTTAAGCAAATTTTATATTAACAAACACTAGCCACAACTTCCACAATGGGAAATTATTAAAGAAAAATGGCAGTGTATTTATATAATAACATACTGGGGGTGTAGCTAAGTGGTAGAAACATGCTCAGTCCCATGCCCCCATCCTCTCTGGTACACATACAAGAGTACTAGTCTTAAAAATAATACAAATTGGGGCCGGGGAGATGGCTCAGTAGGATAAGTGCTTGACTGGCAAACACAAGGATCTGAGTTCAATCCCCGGTTCCGCCAAAAAAAAAATAATAATAATACAAATCAAGATAGACTAAAAAGATGGGAAAGGGCTGGAGAGATGGCTCAGTGGTCTAAAGCACCTACTTAGAACAAGCTTGGCAAAGCATCAGGGACCGTGGTTCAATCCCCCAGCACCACATGCCAGCCAGCCCCGCCCCCTGGTGGGCTGAGCTGGCCACACACTCACTCTCTCTCTCTCTCTCTCTCTCTCTCTCTCTCTCTCTCAAATAAATAAAAAAAAAAAATTAAAATCTAAAAAGATGGCAAAGATACATCATTTGGCAAAAATTATAATATGTATAATGATACTGTTTTTAAACACTATCCATATATACACATATACACAAATTTTTAGCATTTACAGATTTAAATGCTCTGGAGTCATATTCCCCAAACAACTTTAAGAGTAGGATTAAAGCAAGATTTTATTTTCTCTGGTACATCATTCTATTAACGACACTTTAATATTGCTATTTTTCATTCATATTATAGATAAATCTTAAATAAAAGTGTAGTTAGCTCTTACCAATTACACAGCATGTTTCAACACGGTATTTATCAATTTCACAGAGATTATGAGCCAGATAACTCAATTCAGATTTCATGCTCTGGGAGAAAAGAGAAAGACAATCTAAGCATAACCAGGGATTGCCTAAATTATTTTTCTCATTATTAAAATGCAAACAGTTAACAACGTACTACAGCAGATTAAAACAAAAAAGAACTTAAGTCATACCCAAGGAAAAGAAACAATTTACCCTGACATAAAGAAGGTTGGAGAATGTGTCCATATTTTCAATCCTGTAAGGATCTTGTTTCCTTAGCTCATTAAAAATGGAGAGGGCTTTGTCAATATCTGCAAAAATAAGATAAGAGTTCAGAAAACAACACAGTGCACCACTCAGAGTCTGGTGGTATTTCATTGTCCTTATTCACTCACCTCTGATATTGTGATAGGCAACTGCAATTTGGGAAACAATATATGAGCTCTTAGAAAAGCCCACATCAATGAGATTCTGATACTTCTGCAGGGCCTCCTCTATCAACTGCAACTCTGTGTATATATGGGCCAGGAAAAACTCTTTCATCCAGGTGTCTGGCAAAGACAGGAACTTCAGCTGGCAGAGAAGGATAGGAGAGAGAAGGATATAATGTAATAGAATTTGATCTCTCTCCCAAATGAACATCAAGAATGATCTTTATTGTTTAAACAGGATTTATTATTTAAACAATTTTAGGGCACCTAATGATTACAAGGCAATCCAACTAAACAAATACAACTTACAAACACAAGTAGGGAAGAATGGTCTGGTTAAGTTGGCTTCAAAAAAGACAGAAACTGAGGTAAATCTTAAAGAGGATGGGTATGATTTAAATAGAGAAAAAGAATAGACACATAGGAAAGAGCAACAAAGTAAATGCAGGCTAAACAGACATAATGAGTATGGTATCGATTCCCAGTACCGCCAAAAAAAAAAAAAAAAAAAAAAAAAAGAGTATGGTAGCATGAAGCAACTAGCTCAGTTTGAGAAAACTATGTACAAGGAAATAGTGAGGAAATACGATTGGATTGATCAGGTGCAATGTTCTATCATGAAACAAAAATGAGATATAATAGGAACCTACTGCACATTTCTAACAGAATAATGATGCTGTTTAAGAATAGGTTTGGAGGGGCTGGAGAGATGGCTCAGTGGTCTAAAGCACCTACTTGAAACAAGCTTGGCAAAGCACAGGGACCTCGGTTCAATCCCCCAGCACCACATGCCAGCCAGCCCCGCCCCCTGGTGGGCTGAGCTGGCCACACACACACGCACAATAAATAAATGTAATAAATAAAAATAAATAAATATAAAAAAAAAAAAAGAATAGGTTTGGAGGGCCAACAAGATAGCTCAGAGGACTAAGTGCCTGTTTTGGCAAGTATAGGGATCAGAATTTGATCCCTGGTCCTGCATGCCACACTGGTCCTGTCCCTGGGAGTGTGTCAATCAGGCTTGGTGGCACACAGCTGTAATCCCAGCACTGGGGAGGCTAAAAACGGAAGGCTCACTATGAGTCCAAGCTGCAGAGTGAGACCCTGTACCAAATACATAAATGAAAAAAAGGGCCAGCCAAATAGCTCAGCAGATTAAAGCACCTGCTTAGGCAGACACAGGGGCTGGGGATTTAATCCTCAGGCCTGTCTTGCCATCCAAGAAAGTGATTGAGACTGGGCATGGTGGTGTGCCTGTAATCCTGGCACTTTGGGAGGCTGTAAACAAGAGGATCACTATAAATCCAATCTACATAGTGAGACCCTCTAAACCCTGTAGACCCATACTAAAGAAAAGGTTTGGAAGTAATATGGTCAATAGCCTGAAAATGAAAATGTAAAGCTAAAAAGAAAGTATGTTTTACTTATAAGTAATTCAAATTTGAAATGATGACTAAGATGGCAAAGGGAACCAAAATAAAGAGAAATATATAAGAAATAACCGGGCTGGTGAGATGGCTCAGTGGTCTAAAGCACCTACTTGGAACAAGCTTGGCAAAGCACAGGGACCTCGGTTCGATCCCCCAGCACCACATGCCAGCCAGCCCTGCCCCCTGGTGGGCTGAGCTGGCCACACACACACACACACACACACACATATATCTAAATAAATAAATAAAATTAAAAAAAAAAAAAGAAAGAAATAACCATGGTGCTATCTATGACTGACTAGATTAAGGAAGAAAAAGAGAAGACAAGTATGACTAACGTGTGAAGATTGATGATTGGAGAAATAGTAGAGGAAAGAATATATCAAAAGGGAGAAAAGATCAAGAATTTAGTAGTCAAGCTGAGAAATTTGATATTGCATATTTGGAGTTCAGAGGTAAAACAAACTTCCAATACAAGTCTAATAGGCAATTAGAGATAGTGAATACAAGTTAATCCAAAATCTCAGGCACAGGTTTAGCAGCATAATTCAATTTGCATTTGGCTCTATTGCCAAGAAGGGTCTTGTTGCTTGTCATTAGCCTCTGAATAGCAAAATGAAGAGTAGACGAAGACTTCTAGTAGTAACTCATAAAAGGATGGCAGTTTATAAAATAATTTCATATATATTATTTCACAATTTTAAAATATCCAAATAATCACAATTCATGATAGCTTAGAAAAATATTTCAATACAATCTGTAATATCACAGAAAACTTTCTATGGCATCTTTGGATAACATTATATTAACTCTATAGAACAAATTACAGTAAAATTTGAATGGGAAAAGAGGATCATGAAAAATACTATAAATGGATGCAAATCCAATAGCAACTACTGAACAAGAGCCAGTTATCATCAAATGAAGATCCACATTCTTAAATAGTGAAAGGAAAAGAACAAGCTACAACCAAAGACCATAACTGGCAAAACTGGTCCCTCCCACTAAATGATTTCTTTTTCTTTTTCTTTTTTTTTGCGGTACCTGGGATTGAACTCAGGACCCTGTGCTTGCCAGGCAAGCACTTATTCTACTGAGCTATCTCCCCAGGCACAATGATTTCTGAAATACATATGATTTCCAAAAGAAGGTTTTCACATAGCTCATTTCAATTTACCATTTCTTTGTCAGTGATCAAGTTACAGAGCTCTAACCAGGCTCCCCAGTGCAAAGGTAAAACATGAGTAGCTTCCACAAACACATCAATGGCCTCTTTCACTAAGTCCAGCTTTCTAAGCACAACACCATACCTAGAAAAAAGGAAACAATCACAGGAGAGGTTAATGCTTTACAACACCTTTCTACTCAAGAAAGTACTTTATGTTTTTTGTTTGTTTTTCCTGGAACCGGGAATTGAACTCAGGCTCTTGCACTCGCCAGGCAAGCGCTTATTCTACTGAGCTATCTCCCTGGCCCTAGAAATTATTTTATGAAAAGTCCTAATCTATGTCAGGCATGGTGGCCCATGTCTGTAATCTCAGCACTTCAGAAGGCTGAGGCAAGAGGACCAGATTCAAGCCCAACCTGAACAATGTAAGAATTTAATGACACTCATCTAAAATAAAAAAAAAAAAATTAAAGGTCTGGGGATATAGCTCAGTAAGAATGTATTGCAGTCCATCACTACAAAAAAAGGTGGGGGGAAGTGACTTCCTACATTATAGTCAGGTATTGATCACAAGTTCAAGCCCAGCTTAGGCAAAATTAGGAAGGTTTTGCCTCAAATTTTTTTTAAAAAACAGAAGGGACTCGACTGGTGATGTAGTTCAGGGCTAAGGCCCTGGGCTTAGTCCCAGTACTAAATAAATAATAAAGTTTTAAATTACTATAACACTTACAGATAAAGACCAAATCCATCAAGTTCCCGAGCTTGATGTTTTTTGCTGAGTTCCACTCTTAATTCTCTAAGGGCCTCATTTTTCACTTGTCCTTTCTCCAAGGGACCTAAGAAAGAAAGAGTCTCTGATCTAGGATCAGTTTTTACAGAAGGATACTAATTTTTAATTTAACAGATGTATACATTTCCTTTAGCATCAACCAGAGTTATACCTGACACCTCCAGCAAATACAAGTGGCCAAAGATATCTTTCACAATCCATCTATTTTATTTTAGAAACTGCAACTGGGTCTGCAGTCTTATTTTATGGAGCCCACAACACAGTTGTTGTTATTGGTTTAATTTCTTCTGTTTTTAAAATTTGAATCAGGGCCGACCAAATAGCTTAGCGAATTAAAGCACAGGGGTTTTGATCCCCAGGCCTGCCGTGCAGACCCTGCTCCCAGGGCACGCTGCGACAGCAATTGAGACTGTGCGTGGTGGCCTGCGCTTGTAACCCCAGCTCTTGGGAGGCTGTAAACAGATAAATCACTACAAGTCGATCTAGTAGTGAGACTCTGAGCACCCTGTAGACCCTTCCCTAAAAAATATTTTTTTAAAAAATTGAATCAGTTACCAATGATTAAAATTAGAAGATTTAATAAAAGAATGTGTATATATCTGATTTTTCAGTTCTGCTTGCAGGAAACAGAGACCAGGTAAGTGAAGAAACCCTAACAGCACCACGTGCAGATGCTGACAAGGCAGCCTCAGCTGTAGCTGGGTGGGAACCAGGCAGCTGGGGAAAGCAGGTGCTCTTCAATTTGTAACAATGCTCCTCAGTCCATTATATTATCTGTCTGATCCCAAAGACATTTAAGTCTGCAGTCTTGCTTTTCAGGCCAAAAGATAATGAAAAATACTCATACCTAGGCTATCGACTGTTTCATCATCCTTCTTTTTCTCTCCAGACTGTAAGAGAAAATAAAAAAATAGGTATTTTCTAAGGTTATTTTAAAAACACATATTAAAACTGGCAGCCTAATTGTACCTTACAGGCCCATGTTCAACCAAAATGCTATCTACTTTGGGGTACCAATTTTAAAATCAGTCATGGGTTCCCACTGGCTAAATCTAGAATGATCTGAACACCAAAACAGTCATAAACATAATAAAATATTTTGGAGGTGGTACTGAGGATTAAACCCAGAGCCTTCCCACTGAGCTGCATCCCCAGCCCTTAGTGTAAATCAAGCAAGATCTGTCTTAAAATTTAAAAAGGTCTGAGGAAGCAGCTCAGTGAGAAAGCTTTAGGTTCAATTCTCAGTACCATTAAAAAATTAGTTCAGGGGCTACAGAGATAGCTCAGTGATCTAAGCACCTGCCTAGGCAGGCAAGTGCAAGGACTTGGGTGTGGATCGCCAGTATCACATGCCCTGCAGGCCCCACCCCAGGTACCAAGACTGGTGTGGTGACACATGCCTGTAATCCCAGCACTGGGAAGGGTGAAAACAGGAGGTTCACTATAAGTCCAAGCTGCGTAGTGAGACCCTATACCAAATACATAAGAACAAAAAATTCAGAGGAAAATTCTTATGAAGTCCAGAATATTTACATGGACTTAAAGTATATCCACATTGATTTCTGATTAACTGCAAGTAAAACAACAGTAATGATACAGTACAGAAAACAGAAAACATCTTGACCAAGTGAAACATCAGTGAGCCAGTGATGCAAGTCAGCAGCACAAAAGCCTGCCTGACAAGCACAAGGGCCTGAGTTCGATTTCCTGTACCGAAATAAAAAATTAACATCAGCAATGAGGAACTGAGGATAACAGGCATCACCAGAGGCTATGCCCTAGTGTATATTCTACTCCCATACTATTCTGGCCAGGTTATGTGTAACGAGGAAAAAAACTGAAGAAACATCAGATACCAAAATGAAAAATGTTCTATTTAAAAAAAAGAAACAAATACGCTAGCAGCTACTCAGGAGTCTCAAGGCCAGCCTGGGTATATGAAAAGGCCTAGACTCAAAATAAGATATAAACAAGGGGCCGGCCAGGTAGCTCAGCGGACTAAAGCACCTGCTTAAGCAGGCACAGGGACCACAGTTCGATCCCCCATGTGCCATGCTGGCCCTACCCCCGAAGCACACTGAGACTGGGTGTAGTGGTGCGTGCCTGTAATCCCAGCACTTGGGTGGCTGAAAACAGGAAGATCACTAGGAGTCCATTCTGTGTAGTGAGACCCTGTAGATCCTGTACTAAATACATCAAAAAAAAAAAAAAGGAGAACAGGGATTGGGCGTGGAGGCACATGCCTGTAGTCCCAACACTTGAGAGGCTGAGGCATGAGGATCAGTGTGAGTTCATGGCCAGCCTGGAATACAAAGTGAGTTTAAGAGCAGGCTAAACTGCATAGTGAAATCTTATCTTAAAAAGACATGAGGGGGCTGGAGAGATGGCTCAGTGGTCTAAAGCACCTACTTGAAACAAGCTTGGCAAAGCACAGGGACCGCAGTTCGATCCCCCAGCACCACATGCCAGCCAGCCCCGGGCCCTGGTGGGCTGAGCTGGCCACACACACACACAAT